GGCTTGCAGATGCCCCCTGGGTAATTTGGAGGTTCATCCTGAACCCCCCTGCCTTGCAGACTCCCCCCACACACCCCCCAGCAGTTTGGAGGTTCATCTGCCCCCTACCCTGACGTTTTGGGGGCTCGGCTGTCCCCCTGCCCCAGCGGTCTGGGGGTTCACCTTCCAGCTCACCCCCAGTCTGGGGGTTCCTCCCCTCAACCTTTCGGGGGTTCACCCCCAACCCCGGCCGTGTTGTGCCCCCCCCAGGTGAGCTACCTGGAGATCTACTGCGAGCGTGTGCGGGACCTGCTGAACCCCAAGAGCCGGGGGGGGCTGCGGGTGCGGGAGCACCCCCTGCTCGGGCCCTACGTGCAGGACCTGTCCCGCCTCGCCGTCGCCTCCTTCGCCGACATCGCCGACCTCATGGACAGCGGCAACAAGGCCAGGTGGGGGCAAGGGGGCACCCCCAGGCACCGAGGGTTCCCCCAAACCCCACCCAGACACCGAGGGTCCCCCCCCCAAAATCCCTCCCCCAGGACGGTGGCAGCCACGAACATGAACGAGACGAGCAGCCGCTCGCACGCCGTGTTCACCATCGTGTTCAGCCAGCGCCGCCGGGACCCCCTCAGCGACCTCACCACAGAGAAGGTCAGGGCTGCCCCAAAGTCACCCTGAGACCCCCCGGAGTCACCACCCAAAACCCACCCCAGACCCTCCAAAGTTCCCCCGAGCCACCCCCAATCCCCCGAGTTACCCCCAAATCCCCGCTGAATTCCCCCGTATCCCCAAACTCACCGCGAAATATCCCCAAATTTCCCCCGAGTCCCCTGCAAACGTCCCCAAATCCCCCCCGCATCCCTCCCAGGCTCCTCCCAAATCCCACCCAGTTCCCTTTGCTCCCTCCAACCACCCCTGCAATCCCCCAATCCCCCCCCAAATCCCCTGAAATCCCCTGAAAACCCCCAAAATCCCCTCACCCCCACATTTCTCCCCCAAATCTCCCCTAGATCCCCCCAACCCCCCTCAAAATCCCCTCAC